TATGACGCAGTGTCTCGTTCCCTACTCAGGGAACCATGGTTACATAAGTAACCTGAGACGTTTTTCTATATGGGATATGCAACATCTTTTCAGTGGTTTACTGCTTGCCTTGGTTTGAAGTTAAAAAAATATTCTACTCTTCATTTCTAGAAATGTCAGAACCTTTACAATCTTATGCTGGAAAACTCTCTAGACTGGATGATTCTAAATATGGTTGTTGTTTTGTTGTTAATACTGTTTCCCCTTTACATGCTTTAGACTGAGACCTGTGGACTAACTGGAAAAGATAATTAAACCATTAAATCATAATAATCATGGCTTGTGTTGTGACGGCAGAGAAGAGGAAATCTGGAAGTCACTGCCGTGTAATACCATCAAATCATGACCGCACTGAATTCTCACATGATGCTTGCGAAATCTGACGTTATGTTTTTGTGATCTGAGGAGGCCAAAATTATCAGTTGTTGTAATGACTGTGGTGGTTCCTTTTTTAAGTTTTGGATTTTCTGAAATGCTTTACAGTTTGAATTTCAGCTAGTTATTCACATAGGGAATGGAGAACAGATAGAGCAAGACAACATTTCTTTCTTCAGGCACTGAATGTTTGTGTGGAGACTAGCTTTTTATTAGGGTTGTTAAAATGAGCCATTGCAGTCTATGCCTCATACCTGAGACAGGAGAGCTGTTACTGCTTTAGTACAGCACTTCAGCAAGCAACACACTTGCAATGACCTCGTGTATACTCTGTATCACATGACAGTAAACACCTAGAACTTGCCGACTTGTTGAATATACAAAGTAGGAGATAAAGCTATCAGTGAAAATTCTCCAAACGTTACAAGTCAACAATTCCACGCAGTCCTATTGTAGCAATTACATTTTGCAAGTACTGTCTAAGGAAATGTTTCTTAACTTTAGCTGTTCATGTCTAAATGTCTCGCGGCGGGACAGTCTGGATGATTTGGGCCACCAGTAGGTGATGAATTGCCTTCCTCCATCTCTGTCTTCTCATCAGGGGACACATAACGGAGAGAGGGATGAGAGTCTTTGTGACACGGGGGTTACGTGATTCCTCACCGTCACGGCAGGGAGACAACGTCCCATTAAAACGTGAATGGAGAACAGGGAGAGGAAGGAACAGGGAAAATGTATTTTCAACCCTAGAGAAAGCGATGGACTGAATGAGTAAATCTTTCTCCAGATGTGAGCGTCTCCAGGATTCAAAACTTTCTATCGCACACTATGTTTCTGTTGCTGTCTATCCCTTCCATGATTTGGGGTTAAAGAGAGGCTGTAGGTCAGCCTGTCTGGGCCATGCGCTATCTGAAACCGGAATCGACTCTGCCTCCCTGTGTGAGTTTCATTGGAGACCACAGGGAAAATCTCCAAGTCATGAGGTCAGATAGGCTAACGACGATTGCCCTAGTGTCTCTGCTGTTGGAGAAGTGCAAAGATGGGAAACGAGAGCCAAAACATTCCAGCGCAATCTGCGTAACCATTGCATTCGTCATGCTCATTATGCTGCATTCTCCCATGTGGCCTGTACTCAGTATATCAGCCTATACTGTACTTGGAGGCACATGGCCCAAACTTTTGAATTAATCTACAGTAAATTAAATGCTATCATTAAAGGTGAAGTGTGTGATTTCTATGCATTTTTTATTTTTTTTCAGTATATCAGCCTATACTGTACTTGGAGGCACATGGCCCAAACTTTTGAATTCATCTACAGTAAATTAAATGCTATCATTAAAGGTGAAGTGTGTGATTTCTATGCATTTTTTATTATTTTGTTTTAATTATGGCTTATAAAATGTTTCCCAAGTTCTATTGGTTGGACAGACAGATCCAAACACACACCATTGGTTGAGCTGTGTCAAGCTGGTTGGGGAGCTAAAACAAAAACAAAAAATAAGCAATGTTTTGGAAACATCTGCTATTGGTTGGCCAGATATATAGCCTTATGCTACTGGTTAAACAAATCACCGTAAGGACCAAGATGTTCATGTAATTGCCAGTGAAATTGCCATCAGTTTTTCTTTTTAAAGTCAACATGAAAATGAAAATGGACCCTATTTATTTTCTGAATTAACATTTCTTGTGCATGGTTCAGCTGTGCATGTTATTCTAAAAAAAATGGTTTGTTTTCCTAATCCTTAATTAGAATATAATTTTTTTTTTCTGATGTCATCAATCCCTCATGTATTTCAAGACCTCCAAGCACCTGCCATATCATTTTGTTTCTCACTTAATGTAATTGCAACACCTCACCATTCTGGCTTTTTTCCTCACAATTCAGTTTATATCTCACAATTCTGGCTTTGTAACTCACAATTGCAAGTTTTTTTTAATCAGAATTGTGAAATGGAAACTCGCAATTGCTGGGAAATTTTTTTATTCAGTTTTATGTTATTCAATTTTTATTCAGTGGCAGAAACAAGATGTAACACACAATTGAGCTTTGACTTTGTAACTCACATTTGCAAGTTTTTATCATGCAATTCTGAGAAAAAGTCAGAATTGTGAAATGGAAACTCGCAACTGCAAGAAAAAAAGTCAGAATTGTGAGATAAAAAGTCGCAATTACCTTTTTAATTTTTTTATTCGGTTACAGAAAGAAGCTGTAGTACACAACTGGTAGTTTGTCATGCAGTTCTGACTGTAACTTACAACTGTGAATTTTTTCTTTTTCTTTCTTTTTTTCACACAGTTCTGGGCAAAAAAGTCCGAATTGTGAAATGGAAATTCGCTATTGCGAGAAAAAGTTGTGAGAAGTCACGTTTGATTTTTTATTTTTTTTTATTCAGTGGCAGAAACAAGTTTCCAGATGCTTCACTGAGAAACAAGTTACATTAAGGAAGTTAATTAGGTTGTGAATGCTGTTTCACATTGTCTTTAACTTTCTTTGATTTATTCATAGAGAATAAACCATTCTGCACCCTAACCAGCCATGGCTCTTTCATTCCTCTGTTTAAGCATAACATCTGTTGTAGACTTTAGCTGAACCTTGGAAGTGAACGTGGAAAACAATAAGTATTCTGGTATGTAATATTTACTCTGACTGTGGGAAGAGGTGTTTTGAGGTGTCTGTCCCCTCCCAAGATTAGAGCTATACATGATAGAGCTACCAAGCCAACATCTCCAAAATGTTATTACAGTAGATGCATCAGATGGATTCTGTATGCTAGAAGCATCTGTGAACCATCACTGATAATATCATATCGAATGGCTTTATAAAGCATTGCATAAGTGGGAATGTAACTTGCACAGTGCAGGTATTATGTACGTAAAGCTCCTTATATTCAGCCATGGCAGAATCTCCCACCATACTTTATTGCAACAGTATATTTAAGCCTCTTGGGTGTTCTGGTTGTTTTATATGCAAACAAGACTTTATTAATGTATGTTCACTATGCAGTCATTCGTCAAGCACCCCACAACCCACCTGACCTGAAAAGACATTTGTATTCTCAACAGCCCAGAGTGTTTTGAAATGTAGAGCTTTGTCTAATGTGAATCTGGCTTTCTTCACTGGCAGCTTTTCAAGTTGGACCAACCCCACCTAGCCGAAAAACATCTTTATTAATAATGTGCTATGTATATCTGCTGGACCAATTGTCTTTGGTAGGTTTGTAATTAATTTAGTGTAATGTTTTAGTTGATGCGCTCAATGACATACAGGGCCAAAGGAAAAAAAATCAGCCTTCTGTTGAAATAATTATGGTTTTATATTTATTAGCAGGAAATGTTGACGATTAATTGAAGCATATTCAGCTCTGAATTAAAAAGTCTCATGGGACCTGTGTGTTGGCACTCTGAATGAGAGGTGAAAATGTAATTCATAGCGTGTGCAGTTAAGTGTTCACCAAATAAAAAGTCATTCTGAGCTGAAGTTTGATAATTTTTTTTGTTTATAGGAATTGCAGCCAATAATGTGTTGTGTGTATATTCTTGTGGCATTGTATATGCCCGTAGGACCTAACCAGGTTCATGAATCTGTAGGCGCGTTTCCATTACCCTTCAAATTGCACAAATTGAAATTGCGAATTGAAAATACGCCTAATGGAAAAGCGTCAATTTCGCAAAAACGGCCATACATCGCAAAAAAGTTTTTACGCTCGCATGAGGTGGTTTTTCAGGCAATGCGAAAAAGGAATATTAATGCTTAGACAATTTACACTGCACACGTCTGCGGTGCAGTGTGGCTCTGATACGGCCACTGAAGCTGATTACGGCCACTCAATGCTTGTGTTTATGTTTTTATACAGGCTATGGTTTATTCGAGCCGCGCCACGCACGTTTCTGAAGCGGCTCTCTTTGCTGCTTCTGTAAAGATACACGCATAAGCCTCCTTTGAATAAATATAGCCAAAATCCCACCAAAATCCATTGCCATGACTTATCGCGAGAGGCAAAAGGTTACTTTTAAGTCTCATAACATTGGTTAATGGAAATGCCGTCATTTCGCAATACTTTTTTATCGACATTTATAAAATATCGCCAAAGTTTTGCGCAAATCTGTAATGGAAACGCGCCTACTGTGTAAGTGTGACATGGAAAGATACAGTGTTAGCATGACACTTTGTGAGGTTTATTTCAAGATCTTGATGCATTTTAATCAGTTCAATCTGTTGTTAAGCAATGATATGCCTATTTCCATATTTTATGTGTTTCATTTGTGTTAAATGTATTATGGTTCACAGTTGTAACTTGTCTGCACTGACCTCAAGCCCTTAAAAGGATAGTTCACCCAAAAATGAAAATTTGCTGTTCATTTACGGACCTTCAGGCCATTCAAGATGTAGGTGACTTTTTTTCTTCAGTAATACAGTAAAGACGATTTTTAGTTGAAATCATGGTACTTGGTGATTCATAAAATGCTAGTCAGTGGCTACTGGCACTTTGAGAGTAAAAAAAAGCATATACAAGCAAAACAGAATTCCTGTCTCCTGATGATACAATGAGGTCTTATGAAGTGAAACAATCGGTCTGTGCAAGAAAAAACATTATTTACAACATTATTACCTGTAATCCAAGGCCTCAGGCAAACAGTCCAGAGTGATGTACGGTTCACGAACAAATTTTATTTTGAAAGATTGTTTCTTGCACAGACCGATCATTTCGCTTTAAGACCTCAATATATCATCAGGAGGCATGGGTATTAATTTTGTCTTTTTGGCATTTTGTGAATCAACAAGGACCATGCTTTTAGCTAAAAATAAAATCTGTGTACTGATGAAAAAAGTCACCTACATCTTGGATGGTATGAGAGTTAAATTTTTGGGTGAACTATCCATTTAATTTCACCTTGTACTGTTTTGTTTGCTGTGAATTCTTTTCTTCTTTTTGCACTGTTTTCTGTATGTGTAAACCATAGTATATGTTTTTGTCAACCTGGTCTCATAAAAATATGTACCTCTGGGTACTTTTCTGCAACACATGCACGTTTTGCCACAGTTTCAAAGAGAAATGTCCACTGAGTGGCGCTAAAACACGGGTTCAATATGTGAACCCTGGCACGTTTTTATTACGTTGATATAGGTATGTATTGCTGTGTTTTTATTACGTTGCTTCAGTTACGTATTGCGGCGGTTCAGAATTCAAATATCAGGGGACTGTCGCTAAAAGTTAATGCTCTATTGTGTTGGAAATATGCCCTACACCAAACCCAACCCTAAACATACCCGACAGTGTTAACAAATGCAAAACTGATATAGGCCTAAAAACACATTTGTTGATGCAACTGTGCCATTTGAACTTCCTTAAATGCAGATTTGAACTGTTTTGTTGAACCGTAGTTACACGGGTTTCGAAGCTCCTCACCTCTTAAGTACGTCTCCGTAATCCGCGAGCTACCAAACAAACCTACCGTCTATGAAAACCCATAGATATGAAGCTGGATATGTGTGATGCTAACACACTAAAGCATCAGTTTTCAGTTCTCCCAGCATATTAAAATTGTTTTGAAGTCATAACATAATATTTTTCAAGTAATTGTGCGAAAAATATGCTTTATTAATCGAAACTCTGTAAATTTGTGTGAAAAGCAATAAAAGGGGTCGGAGTTTGACTGCCTCTAGTGTTAATTTCTTTTGGAAACTGCATATGTACTTATTGGTACGTATTTTGCGTCTCGCGAAAAAGTGCCCCCAGGTTTGTTTTGGCCGTGAGACCAGGTAGGTTTTTGTAAAGTATTTATGTAAAGTGTATATATATTTTGATAACATTTATATATACAGCAGCACCAGAGTCCAGTGAGCCACAATATTTTGTTCCTTTATATGTCTCCCCACACATATGACACAGGGCATGTTCTCCAGTCAGATCACCTTTTTTTGTATTATGCAAGCATTTTTTTTTTTTCAGCTAGTCGCTCAATTTAAATAAAAAAAAATGCAAAGTAAAAATATGAATCAAATAATATCATCAATTATCACTGTCGGCCGGGAAGTTCCATATCGGTGCCTCTGCAATCATCAACTTTGAATGAAGTGCCAAGCTGGAAAGGAACATATTAGGGATATCGACATAAGTTAGTACGATGATATAAGTTCCAATTGTGCAGTCTGGTTATTCAGGGATCAGAAACAGCTGCTTCTCAGCCGGCTCTGGGAGTGTAGTCTTCCTTTATACACGCAATAATATGTGGGGAATAAGATGACGTTAGTCTAGATGGGAAACTTCCCTAGCAGTTCTGGCGCTTTCAACTGTGGTTACTTAGACATAGTCTCAGAACAATTGGAGGGCTAATAGGAAGCAGAGGGTGTGGGTGTGTAGACAAGATGGTGATTGGAAAAGTGCGGTGGATCTGCTTGACAGCACGTATCCGGGTGTGGCACTCATAATTCATGATATATCGTCATTACAAAGGTTGTTTGTGATAACTTGCGCAATGCGTTTTAGGACCCAGATGACTGTTCTTTCATAACATCTCAGGCCCGAGTTGGAAAACAGCAAAATACAGAAATTTTAAAAAGTTTTAATACATACTTAACATGTTATACATTTCGATATGTTAAAACCTTGTTTAGACAGTAAGCAAAAATCAGAGTTTATGGTATATCCTACTTCAGTTTTTGCAAACCCATTCCAACCCACACTCTTAGGTGGTTTGAAATTCGATTAAAGTCAGATGTTTGGAAATGTGTCTTAGTCAATAGTCCGCTCTGATTTCAAGTAGTTCTTTGCCGTTCGGGACATGTCGTGCCTATAAATGTGTCCTAAATTAATTGAATGAACAAGCAACACGTGAATGTTTCTTCAGCTTTTATGTTAAAATTATACTTAGCATGACAAAGCAGTCAGCGATCTTATTCCAAAAATGATTCATTTCCACCACAGGATGTAAAAATACAATGTATCATTTGAAATGTGATGGGAATTTTCATGAATTAAAAAAAAAAATATATATATATATATATGAATAAAACAAAAAAATCTGCAATGTATGTATATACACTGTTGGACATTATTTGTGTAAATTAAATTAAACAAACGGTAACACTTTATTTTGATCCACTTTA